CCTAAAATTTAGTGTAAATATAATTTCATGAAATGCATCGGTTGTGCAGTGTTGTGTTGCAAAGTTTCATCGCTTTTTAATGTGTTGTCAGGGTGTGTGAGTGCAGAATATCGTCCTTGGTTACCAGATAGCGTCTAAATCCAAACTCTCCAGTTAACCATTTACTGCCCACAAGTTCAACTACGGCAAACAGAACAATAAACACCAAAGTATTGAGGAATATTATAACAATAAGATAAATATTTTTATAAACTCTACCTAAGTGTTACCATCTTAACTATAGCACAGCGAGATAAAACAGCAAAGGGGTATATATCATAACATTAGGACTATAGGTTAACATATAAACGTACGTGTGTGCGCGTTTTTGGCATATGAGGACACAAATTTGTATAATAACATGGGTATGACATAGGTATTACAAGGAGAAGGTGACTTATGAGGACATTACCCCATGTCCCCATTTTTCAAAACCCTTATAGATCATACAGAGTGAGTTTTTTTTTTTTTTTTGAGAACTATGGAGAGTCCCTACAAGGATAGCTGACCAGACATTGTGTGTGTGTGTGTGTGTGTAAAACATTCTACAACTATCGTATCGTATCTACCGCCACTCATAACAACACAAATTTTTTATGTCATTTAAATCGCAAATAAGGTCATAAACCACGTATTTTAAGATCTAGAATAATGTTAAAATAGTTTTTAATGAAATATCGCATGTCACACTGAAGGATTGCTGCCACTGCCTGAACTACCATGTCAACAACTAAATGCACATAAAAAAAGAAAGACATCATAATAATGCATATTATTAGGGGAAATGGAGAAGGGAGTTAAAAGAGAAAATGTTGTTTCAAAGGAAACATAATTTACTTTAATAATATCATGATAGATCTTGGATGTTCAAAGTAAATACAGATTGTAGCCATTCATATTTGTACATTTCACTGAAATGAATTTATCACATTTTTGTTCATCAAATTAAATGGTGCATTAAGTAATTTGAAACATTAAATAATAATTCCTTTTTTTTTTTTTTACATATTCCATGATCATTAATGTCTTATTTTAGCATTTTATTTGGGAAATACTGCCTCCTTTTAACATAAAGCTCTTTTGTTGTGCTGTTAGTTACAAAACTAGCACTAAAAAATTAATTCTTTTTATTTTTCTTCTTCTTTCCTGAATATTCTTGTCTTCTCTTTCTATAATGATGACTACCTCCTCCCTCACTGCGACCGGTAAAGCTGGGCATCGGTGGCTCAATCTCTCCTGGACGTCCCCCTCTATCTGGCACACTGCCCATCAGTACCTGCAGAAACAAATGTTGTGTATAAATCCATTTTTAAATCTTTTCTTATGCACATTGCAACACTGAATTTAATGCATTCAACCCTGGAGAAAAAAAGTGAATTATAGTAACAAAACTTAGGTGAAGGGCACCTTGTGAACAGCTGTTGAAGGCCCTGCTTTAACAGGCCTAATGCGAGACTCATCCTCTCTTGCCGCCAACAGCGTAGCAATGGAGACGGAGGACTCGAGAGAAGGTGTGAAGGTTTTCATGGAAGAAAGTAAAGCACTGCGTTCCTTGAAAGAAAATATGGAGAATTTGCTCAGTGAAACATATTACAATACATGCTAGAAGATTTGCAAAAGAGACAATCTTTATACCTTTCCCCTCTCTCCCCAAGTACAGGATTGTAGTGTGACATGGAAACGCTTGATCATCATTTGGCGCCGGCATTCATAATCTTTACAGAGAGCTCTGTTGATGTCATTAATGTTTTTCTAAGAAAAAAAATAAATGTGAAAATATTTGTTCAGGGACAGAGCTCTAAAAAAGGTCAATGTGACTCTGTAATACATAATAGAACAAAAAGACAGCATACTGCTACAATGCTCTCAACCGCTATTTAAATAGTAGACAAACAATGTTTTGGCCCTTTTGGTGTTTGTCAGGTAGTCAAAAAAAGTACGTCTTTATCGTAATTATCTTTAGAAGAATCCAAAATGTAGTTGAGTTTTCATCAGAAAAGATTTGGAGAAGTTTGGCATTACATCATTTGCACACCAGTGGATCCTCTGTAGTAAATAGGTGCCGTCAGATCGAGAGCCCAAACAGCTGATAAAAACATCACAATAATCTACAAGTAATCCACACAACTCCAGTCCTTCAATTAATGTCTTCTGAAGCAAAAAAGATGTGTTTTTGTAATAAACAAACCTATCATTAAGATGTTAACTTCAATCCTTTGCTTATGGCTAAAATCGAGTAAAAAAGCCATCTCGTCAGAATCAGAAGAGAAATATGCACAGATCAATTACTATTTACAAGTGAAAACAGTTCTAAACAAATATTTTGGTGGATTTTGATGTAAGAGGACAACAGGGGACTTTTTCACTGTATGAAGTATTATTCTGGACTGGTATTTAAGCCGGAAGCAATGGTTCAAAATTAAAATGCCTTAATGATGGATTTATTTCTTACAAACACAGTTTTTCACTTCACAAGATGTTAATTGCAGTGAATTGTGGATTATTGTGATGTTTTTATCAGCTGTTTGGACTCTCATTCTGACGGCACCCATTGGTGAGCAAGTGATGTAAGGCTACATTTCTCAAAAACCATTCCAATGAAAAACAACAAAGTCATCTACATCTTGAATGGCCTGTAAGTGTGAGTAAAGTTTTAGCAAATTTTCACTTTTGGGTGAACTATACATACATACATCTGAATAGGTATAAACAACAAACAATACAACAAAAATAAATACAAATAATTAATCAATATAAATCAACAATTTCTGGTCATGCTCCTGCTCCAAAGTTTTTTTGTTTTTTTCCAGATGTGCACATACCATTTCACTTTAATACATACCCATTGCTCAGAGTTCAGACTGGTCTTCAGTAATGCTTCTGGCACTTCACCTTCTGGAAGTGATGTCAGCCGTGTCTCCACCTGAATAAATTACGCATATGTTAGAGATCACCAAAAAATTTAAAATCTCTAGTAATAATTAACATTCACAGGTGATGTTTCTTACCTCTGCACAGGCATCACTCATCTGAGAGGATGTTTCTAAGCCAAGAGTCTGAAACAGTTTTGCAAGATCTTTATTTACTTCTTTCCAATTAGTTTTATCCTCTTGTGCTGGACTGATTTCCTGATGCTCGTCTTTATTGCCCATATTAAGACTTTCCCATTTTCTTTGCTCTTTGCCCTTTGACTCACAACTCTGTTCTGTATCTTCTGGATGACTCTCTCTGTATGTCAGCATACGTGCTGTCGCCAACTCTGACACCAAAAACTCTGTCAATTGAAAGGTAATATGTACAGTAGCTCTTCACAGAAAATCCTAAAAATGCACAGATTGAAATCCTCTATCACCTCCCAACCTTACCAGTCACTCTAAACAGCAGAAGTGGGCTAAGGTGCTCTGATGTAAGTGCATTTTGAGGACAGGACATCTCCTTCAGCACTTCCCTCAACTCCCCGACCAGAACTGCACCACCAACATGCCTTGCTGAAGCACAGTTACATTTTATCCATAATGCAACACAATGCAAAAAAAAAGGATGGTTGAAGTAAAGTTGTGCAAAATGTTGTCTTATTGGCAGGGTTTTTTTTTTTTTTGCATTAGGTTTAATTCTAGGCCTGCTGTTAGCACGCAGGCCTAAAATTAAACCTAAATATAAATAATTGTTATTCGATTTCAAAGTCTATTCATTCAAATAATTTATTTATTTAAATTATTATTATTTAAATATGATACATTGAAATCCTTTATTCACGCATAACATATTACTAAAAAAAAGAGATAGAAATTCGTTAGTGAATTTAGGAGTGTGTAGGACAGGTCTCGGTTGGGTTACCTGGAATATCAGGACAACTTTCTCTTAGTTCTGAGACCAACCAGGAGAGCAGCGGGCAAGGTAATTCGTCACATTTACATTTCTTCAAGCACTCTCCGCTTTTATACCTATGAAATATTAAAACAGCTGTGAGTGAAATTATCTTGACATAAACAGAACAACATTTTAAATTGTGTTTATTTCAGCGTTACTCACCCAAGAGCTTTAATTAAACTGATTATACCAGTGTCTCGCTCCATTGTAAAAATTACACAGGTTATGTCGTGAGTTCTTCACTTCCTGTTTCACTAGCTATGGCTGTAAACAGAAGTCGAGTAAAAGTCACGCTCTGCCGATAACCGACTGCAAGACAAGATTAATCGATCGAAACAATTCAATCGTCCTAATCAGCGAATGCACAGATTCCTTTTGTTCTAAACTAATCAGATAATGCACAAATATTGCACTTTAAGAAAGTCACTGATTTTGACGCACTGATCTATCAATGCCTTGACTGTTTTATCTTTTGCTTGCAAATGAATACCTACTACTAAAATAAAACGTAACTTTAAAGGTAAGTCAATAAAATATACAATAGATACAAGTAGATAAGTAATAAGTAATTACAAATTTAAATATGTGTGACAAAAATGAAATCATTTTTTTATTCTTTTATTGCCATTTATATTCCAGTTTATAATTGAAAAAGTGGATATATGGAGTAATACTAATTATTAATAGTTTTGTTTATTTGGGAAGAAAGTGTTGCATGGTGCTTTTAACTGGGACAAAAACTTTATTTGATAATATTTTTGATTATCAATTTATATTTGATAATATCCATCTTTATTTGACCCTCTAACTCTAGCACTTTCTATTCTATTTAAATGTAAAACATAATGTATTTAATTCAACTTTTGATTTTTGTTGAACAATTTTGATCTATGTACCCTTTCTAACCAGAAACCCATTCTCTGCCTGTTCTCTGTGAATTACAGCAGTACTTTAAATCTCTTAGAATAATAACAAAGATATGATTTGTTGTATTTGACACGTTTACGTTGTTTTTATATGAACATTAGAAAGGCTGCGTATGACGAATATGATTGGCTACAGCGGGTCATACAGACAGCAGCTTTAGCCAATCAGCTGCAGGGACCGAGAGCGCTCAGACCGTCGTGAGGCGGAGGAAGTGGGCAACCACGGTCACCCTCCATCTTCGATACCTTCGTAACGACAGTTTGCTTGAGGGAGAAACTGACAGAAAAAGGTAAATATTGTGTTTTCTGCGCATACGAGGTAGTATGTATGTTCAGTTAGTGACTTAAAATTATATTTGATTCATTTAGAGTATGCATGTGAGGCGTGTGGATTTTGCGCGCAAATTACTTGACTCCATAGTTCGCTGCTATGCTAAGTGTGCAGACAGCGGATACAATGAAACATGACAATAGATTGTTTTGACACTTAAACGAATGGATTTTGATCTATGCATGTTGTTGCGTTTGATGTACTAAAGCCTAAATACCCCTCCAAAAGAAGTGAAGTTGTTTTTTAGCTGCAAAGACCTCGGCCTCTGTTATCCTGTTAGCACGCAGGCTAATATTTGAGCGAGTGTGAAGATGATCCGCCGAGCGCGTACAGTAACCAATCAATGCATCGCGTGTGTTTACTCTGAATGTACAGGCGCACAGTTTGGAATAAACTGCTGAAGGGGTGCATGAATCATGAGCGGGCTGAATGTCAAAAAGCTCAAAGTCAATGAGCTGAAGGAAGAGCTCCAGCGGCGAGGCCTGGACACCCGCGGGCTGAAGGCGGATCTGGCGGACCGATTGCAGGCGGCGCTGGAGGCCGAGGCGGCGGGGTCTGCGCCATCGGACGAGCAGGATCAAGACTATGAGGCTGGCGGGGAGCCGGGAGAGGGCAATGATTATCAGGAGGAAGGTAATGCGTGTTTTCATATGTTTTGTCTTGGCTGTATTCTGAAGCTGCAATGCAGGCTGTGTTGTTGCGAATGGAGATGTGCTTCACAGAGATTAGGAGAGTCGTCTGGCAACGTGTTAAACCACCATAGGGGGACCCCTTCTGATGCAGGAAATACAAGAAGGGGCATCTAAAACGTGCTTCCATTGTCGTGGAAAACTACATTTTTAATTTTACAACAGGAAAAATCTGGTAGCATAAAAATATTTCAGTAAGACATTATTAGATTCTTAAAAGTCATGGATATTTTGTTGAAATTTCTTTTGTGTGAATTATCTTAAAATGATTTAATAATACTTAAAATCTTGAGCACTTTCAAATGACTGAAAAATTTAAGACAATTTTGCAACAAAAACATTGTGTGTGAGAGAGATTTTTAGTGATGCTTAGCTTCAAAATATATTTTTAGTAAATGCTTTGCTCAGTATTTTTATACATGTTATTAACACTAACCTCACACTAACACTAAACCCAATTTTACATTATATATAAAGTATATGTATATAAATAAAAGTACATGTTGTTAGTTATTTTTCAGTAATTGTGTAATTACACTGTAATAAGCACACCATAAAATAAAGTGAAACTATTGCAACATTGACATTAATGTAGAAAAAAGCCATTTGAGATTTCCTGGCATGGGAAAACTAATAAAAAAATTGAAAAATAAAATAACTTGTGAAATAGAAATGTAATAAAATCTTGAATAAACCATGGATATGTAGTTTGTTATACTCAGCTTTACATTGCTTTTTGTTGTTGTTGTTTTGGAGTTGCTCTTTGTGACTAGATTATCTTTAAAAAATTGTAAAAAAAAATTAAAAAGTCAAATATATACACACACACACACATATATATATATATATATATATATATATATATATATATACACAGGTGCATCTCAATAAATTAGAATGTCGTGGAAAATTTATTGAGATGCACCTGTATATACATATATATGTGTGTGCACAGAATTTTCAGCCAGGGAGCAAGATTATGGAGAAGAGGCCAAGGCACAGTTTGATGATGGAAACAGCACAGACCTTTTCCAGGGTGGATTTGATGATCAGGGAACCGAGAGTAACGAAGGCAATGAGGACAGCACCGAGACCCCCATACCTGGTTTTGGAACAAGTGATTATTCATCAGACGCAATGACAGGACAGATGACGGAGCAGTGCTCCGATGACCAGGATGAATTCCAGGAGCCTGAGGCCAAGAAGCCGTACCCTGAGGAACCAGCCAGGCAGCACTATAAGCAGGATGAGGTGAAGCAGGAGTATGAGGAGACTCCTTCACATGCGCAGCCACAGGGTGAGCAGAGGTTCGACGAGCCAGCGTCACGGGAGATCCCAGAAGGAGACTCAAGTCAACGCAGCCAGCAGAAAGAGTCCGGTAAGTCTGTTCAAGTGTTGTACCATTAAACTAGCACATAATGCTCTTGATCAAGTCGGACTGTGTGCCGTTAGTTAATATTATGCTGAAGAAAACAAGAAAAAATTGTTTTCATAAAGCTGTTAATGTAATTCCACAGAGTCACTGCATTAAAATGGTCGAACTAGAGAATTCATCACTTGTGGTTTAAGCTTCTTTTTTGTGCAAGTTGACTTTAAAGTCAGTTATAACGTAAATTGTGCTCTAGAGTGCTTTTTCTGGAAATATTTTTCCCATAGGGATTTTTTCAAAGTCAATAAGCCATAAACCAAGCCAAACAGCCAAAAGGTGCATCATAACATTACAAACTTTTGGAATTTTCTCTACAGTGTCATGGGTAATGTAGTTTTTCACCAAGAACTGTATTATTTTAAAAACAAGTTGGATTAACGTGAGCAGATGGCTTTAACAAAAGCATATGCAATCAATTAACAACCTTAGAGTTCACAGCAGAATTATCAGTAATGGTTAAAAATCACTATGCCCTATAGAGAAAATGAATGGAGTTTTTACTTCCAGAACTTCTGACTGTTGCACTCTATTACCACATAAATATATCTGATGTAGCTTATGATATATTTATCCAAATCTTTGCAGAGAGTGATGAGGTGAAGACTGAATATAAGGCCGACGAGGATGCTCCACAGCAGGCTGAGCAGGCCGGTGACTGGGATGCACAAGCCAAATCAGAGGATGATAGATACTCGTCATACAGTCGCAAGAGGTCATATGATGATAGTCGAGGATACGGTTACTATGAACATCGTGAGGAAAGGAGGTAAGTTAGGTCTCATTGGATTTACTTTTTTTTTGTATTGCTCAATCTCATAGTTCTCTTTGGTTATTATAGGGGAAGGTCACCACAGCCCCCAGCTGAAGAAGAAGAGGAAGACATTGATGATAAACTTGTGGTCATTGACACCTGTGAGTATAATTAAAGAGAGATGTTCTTGTGATGGAGCTGTTTGTATTTGCACTAGGTGTGTAACCGTACACAAAAGTCAAAAGTTATGGTTCGGTATGTTTTCAGTACAGCAAAGGAAAAAAACAAAGTGTTTACACTTTTGGATGCAAAATATTTTAGTCAGAATTATTTTGCTCCCATTCTACTTTGCTCCGTCTATTTGTCTGGCACATATGTGTGCTGGCACTCGTTCGTTAAAGTCTGCAAAATGAAACGTAGACTTGCTTTCTGTATGGTTACTCATTTATACAAAATAATTACAACCATCAGATGTACTGGTAACATTTTATTTTAAAGGTGACATACCATGAAAATCTGACTTTTCCAGGTTTTAAGTGCTATAATCAGGTCCCCGGTGCATCTACCAACCAAGGAAACGTGAAAAATATTAACCCAGTAACTTCGTTTTGGTAAGCCTTTTTCTGCAAGCATCTGAGGAAACGAGTGTATCAGATTTCGCTCCCTTGGTGACGTGGCAAAGGGATCTAATTATAATATTACCGCCCATTAATCTGTAAGTTTTCACCCACGGCGCCGTCATTTGATTTCACAAGCGACAACGGTGTATTAGTTCTAATGTCATGGTCGAAAGTTTGAGCAAAACATGCTAACTGTTCTGCCTTTGTCTGCACAGACCAGCACAGAACACTATTTAGATCTAAAATAAACCACATGATTTCAGCGCGATAAACATGAAAATCAGAACCATAACAGATGTTTTTAGGAGGTCTGAGCTGTAATGGCACAGCTCTATTCTGGAAAAGGGGGCGGGGAGCAGCAGCTCATTTGCATTTAAAGAGACAGGCCCGAAAAACAGCATGTTTCTGCTTCCACTCAAAATAAGCATTTTCAAAATGATATAATGACAGGCAAAGCAGCATCAGTCTAAAAGAGATTCATCTGAAAGTTACATTTATTTTATGACTTATACAGGCATATGGGGTAACACTTTATTTTAAGGTGTCCTTGTTACACTTTACATGTACTTACTATTGTAATAGCAATAAATTATGCATAATTACATGCAAGTAACCCTAAGCCAAACCCTAATCCTAACCATATAGTAAGTACATGTAGTTAATTATTATTACTCCGTACTTAAATGTATAATTACACTGTAACAAGGACACCTTAAACTAGTTTCCCCCAGAAGGTCCAGTTATGACAATCTGATTAAACATTAAAAAAAAATGAAACAGAATGCATGGATGAATTGTTCACAACAATGTTATTATTGTTAGTTAAAACTAAAACTATAAAAAATGTGTTAATTAAAAAACAAACAAAAAAAGCATTTTATTTCAGCTAGTTGCCAAGGCCACAGAGCTGAGAAATGCATTAAAGGGTTAGTTCACCCAAAAATGAAAATTCGGTCATTAATTACTCACCCTCATGTCGTTCCAAACCCATAAGACCTTCGTTCATCTTTGGAACACAAATTAAGATAATTTTGATGCGTTCCATGAGCTCTCTTGACCCTCCCATAGACAGCAAGTGTCCTTACACGATCACACACGGCTACGTTGTTTTCGTGTGGCACAGCTGACACAGAACAACATAACGCCGTTTACGTTCAGTGGATACTCTCCAAAATGGCGCTAGGGTGACACGGAAAAAGTCTTTTTTTTTTATTTTGCGCACAAAAAAATATTCTCATAGCTTTGTAAAATTATGGTTGAACCCCTGATGTCACATGGATTATTTTACCGATCTCCTTGCTATGTTTCTGGACCTTGATCGTGTAAGGATCCTTGCTGTCTATGGGAGGGTCTGAGAGCTCTCAGATTCCATCAAAAATATCTTACAGGGCTTAAAGTTCTCCGGCGTGCAGCGTTTGGCTGCGGAAAAAAATTGTTCTACATTTAAAAAAATATATTGTTAATTGATATCACTTTCGAGTCCATGGGCCTGTTTAAACCAGGTCATTTCATGCGTTTTCGCTGATTGGATATATATCTGATTTGTTAAAACGTTTCCATTTACACTTGGCCACATAAATGTGTCGTCGCAAAACGGATATAAATCCGATCTTCAATTCCCGCGCTATATTTAAATTTAACTGAGTGCACATCAACGAAATCAAAAGATAAGCGCTGCATTTTATTAATTATCCGCTCATTTCAAGATCAAAGCCCGCAATAGGAGAGCGTGCGGCATCAGCACTGGAAAGATATGTTAGTCACACTAACTTTTAATGAAGATAATTGTGTGTTGAGTGTCTGCGTCTTACTTTCAGTTTCATTCGCGGCAGTTTGTTTCATTTGGCTTGCTGAAGAGATGCTCAGCTACTCGTCCGCGGCAATGCGTGTTGCATTAGCGCAGTCATATCTGACTACGATGGTATGAGAGGAGCACAGCTTTCACTCTCAACCAAACTAACATTACTAGCCAATCAGAATGTTTTGCTCTTATAAACACGAGACGCGCATAATAGTATCCAACTGCGGAGTTGCAGCCCTGATGAATGGAGAAGCGCGTCAAAAAGCTGCGAGGCGCAATGGTCAAAGATCTAGCGCATATTTAAAATCTAGCGCATATTTACATAGAATAACTAATTAAAAAGCAACGGAGTTTTGTAAACAGCTCAGAGTAATCATGCCATCTCCATAAAATGATATGATTGCCAGAACAAATTTACTGGGATTTTTGAAAAGGTCCTGTTCACACATGATCTATTAATGGTAACTTACCAGTAATTTACCAGTACTGTATGTGTGAAAGGGGCTAAACTCTTCCTCTGTATATGCTGTGAATTTAAATTGCTTAACGTTCATCTGGAAAAACAGTGTGCATTATCTCACTAGATTTGTAACGTAAATCATTTATAAACCTTTGCCAACACAGGAGAATACATCAACCTATGTCTAAATATGCCATGTATTGTACATCGCGATTTCAAAATAAAAGTTTCTGAGTATGCATGCGGCCAAATATTAAAATTAAATGGATTTAAACAATGTTTAATCACATTGTAAAGTGAAATGTCACCAGGCCGTTGGTGCCCTCTGCAGGTATTTGTTTTAATACATAATGTATTTAAAGGGGTCCTATTATGCTCTTTTACAAAGCCTTGATTTTGTTTTGGGGGTGTACTAGAACAGGCTCTCATACTAGATTGTTCGAAAAACACATTATTTTTCACATATTTTACATTATTACAACACCTCTCTCCCCATTCTGGCACAAACGGCTCGAATAGTTCCTGTATCAAATGTGCTGTGATTGGTTAGCTGGGCCCAGTGTGTATTGTGATTGGCAGCACTCGGCGTCTGGTCGGGAAATGTCATGCCCCTTACCATAGCCGCCTGCGAGCTTCAGTGTAAATATTGCTCAAAATCAAATCAATTTGAGCGCGATTTTAAACCCGGATGATTGTAATCACTCTTAAGTTCGTCTGCCATCAGCTCACTCTGTGTCTATCACTATTTTTCAGATGTGTTCGGAACATCAAAGTACATCAATTTAAACAATATTTTCTCATCCTAGGCTGGAATTCACAGAGAAGTTCCACACATGCAGTGGTTACGCATACATGTCAAGTCGAAAGTCCTGTACCAAAATATTTCCATTTCACCCCAATTTGGAGTGATTTCATACCACACAGCATGTTCACAGTGTTTGTGTGAAACACCGAATTGAACAGACAGAGAGCAGAATGAAGATATTTGAGATTCAGGATGTCTATGATGTAATCAGATTAGTGGAATATTAAACATAAATCCACAATAGAAATATATTCACATCTTTATTGCGTTAACTGTTATATTGTTAATGTATAACTAGAGGTTACCTACATCATTACGGAAAAACATCATGTGATTATCTTGGAAAATCATATGATGATCAAGGAAATATCTCTTTAGTAAACAAATTAGGCCATTCATAATCTTTTTTTTACCCAGTATGAAAAAATAAATAAATAACAAATGCAATGAAAATGTATGTAATACCAAGTACTAAAAATGAAAGTATCTGTACAATACTTGGTCTGGAAAAAAGTGATTCAGAGCCTCCTTAATTTTCAGGATTCCTGGTCTCAAAATGAAGGAATAGTTTGTTCATTTTAAATGTGCTTGATAGTGTTATATTCGCATTACAGAATGGCTGCTTCTTTGTTTGTCTCTAGATAACTGTGACCTGCACTTCAAGGTGGCTCGTGACAGATACAGTGGTTACCCTCTGACCATTGAGGGTTTTGCCTACCTGTGGGCAGGTGCTCGAGCCACTTACGGTGTTACCAAAGGACGTGTGTGCTTTGAAATGAAGGTAACAAAGATGCTATTTAGTGTTTGAAGCCATGTTTGAGTGCCTGAGATGGGTCACAAAGATCTTTATTGTCCTGTTCCTTGTTTAGATAAATGAGGAAATTTCAGTAAAGCACCTTCCTTCGTCTGAGCCTGACCCTCACGTGGTGAGAATCGGATGGTCCCTGGATTCTTGCAACACTCAACTCGGTAAATGACCAGACTTACAATAACCTTGCTTCAAAGCATTTCTAACACCTGATGCAATTTTCTTTAGTAAGATTAATCAAAATGCTGGATAGATGTTGCTGGAAAGTGTGAGTTTTTTTTATTTTTTATGCTGCATTATCATTTATGTTCCTTCATGTTACAGGTGAAGAACCCTTCTCTTTCGGCTATGGAGGAACTGGCAAGAAATCCTCCAACTGTAAATTTGAAGACTATGGGGAAAAGTTCAGTGAAAATGACATCATTGGCTGCTATATTGTAATTATGCTTTTCTCTCATACTTCTAGATTAGATTACACATAATGCAGCTTAATATGGGCTCAGAGACTATTATTAACCATATCTCTTTTCTTTTTTCCACTTGGATTGTTTTCCATAGGACTTTGAAAGCAGTGAGGAAGTAGAAATGGCATTCTCCAAGAATGGCAAGGGGCTAGGCCCATGTTTCCATGTCTCTCGAGAGGAACTGGCCGGCCGTGCTCTTTTCCCACATGTATTGGTGAAGAACTGTGCCGTGGAATTCAACTTCGGACAGAGAGAGGAGCCCTTTTTCCCTCAGCCAGAGGGCTTCACCTTCATTCAGGATATTCATCTAGAAGAGAGAGTCAGAGGGACACTGGGACCTGCTACTAAAGCTGATTGCGAGGTTTGATGTGGAAATGAACTTTTAAGAAAAATAATAGTGTACTGCAGTCTAATCAAAAAGGATTTTATAATGAAAGAGAATTGTGTTTTTAAATTTTCAGCTGTGGATGAAATGTATGCATCTATAATGTAATTCCATGGAGACTAATAATTTTAGCATTTGTTGGAAAGTTATGCCATTATTTGATGTCTTTAAAATTGTCTACCTTATTGTAATGTGCCAAATGACTATAAATAGACTGGACAATTAATTAATTCTTTTCAACAAAACCTCATCTTTGTGAATTAGCTATGTAATTATAGCATTATAACGTTTAATACATAGCAGTAAACCAAATGTTTACATTTAAAAGACATGTACGTGAGCAGTGGAAAGAAGATATTGGTGATACCTAGCTTGTAAAATGTTGACTCCATGTTTTCTTTCTCTTCTTTAGATCCTGATGATGGTTGGTCTGCCTGGTAGTGGAAAAACCACCTGGGCCATAAAACATGCTGAAGAAAACCCTGACAAGAAGTACAACATCCTGGGCACAAATGCTATCATGGAGAAGATGAAGGTATGCCTGCTGAATATAATCTCTGTTATTATGGCAGCTGTGCATAGTAAAGCCCTCTATGAAAGTTAGGTCCTCTTTAAAGTCCATGTGAACTGGAAGTATCTAGCAACTTTGCTTCAGTAATATTGGAATATTGAATAGAGGGTATTCTGTTACGCTTTTATTTTAGCTAGAGATCTACCGATATATCGATTTACCGATATTTTTCCCGCTATTTAAGCATTTTACAATAATCGGATATCGGTTTTGTAATATCGGATTCACCGATAAACGCCGAGAATTGCGCGCTGGATCACCATTGCAGCGCATCTGAGGGGAAACAAGACAACAACAACTTCACTAATTTTAGCACTCCTCCTCAGCATCCCTCGCTCACAGCAAACTATGGGTTGGTTTAGGATAGAGTGGGTAAGGATATTCTCCCCCCAAAAAAGGATATTCGATCTTTTTTTTTTCCCCTGTGCGTTAACTTGTACAGATTAATTATTTACCTTAAGACTAGCAATGTGAACTAATAAAGTAAATAGTGTCAATCTTTAAAGAACCACCGCTATAGCCATACACATTTAGACAGATGTCTAGGCAATGGATGGGCAACACTGGCCCTTGAGATCCACTATCCTTTGAAATGTAACTTCTACCTAATCAAACACACCCGCCTGTAATTTTCTAATAATCCTCCAGACCTTGATTAGCTGGTTTTAACATGGTCTGCAGGACTGCGGAACTCAAGGGCCAAAGTTGCCCACCCCTGGTTATTGGTTAAGACCAATAACTCATCTAGTTGTTCAGGCCATCCACCAATGAATCGTTTTGAAAATATGTAGTTATTCCAATCAAAGTCTATACACTAAAGTTTATTGCTCCGTTTCCATCAGGTCATGGGACTTCGTCGTCAGCGCAACTATGCCGGACGCTGGGACCTACTTATTCAGCAGGCCACGCAGTGTCTCAACAGGCTCATCCAGATTGCTGCCCGCAAGAAGCGCAACTACATCCTGGATCAGGTACTGCTGTACTTGCCTTCCTTTGCGCTGTCCTCACAGCTAAAAACCCTTCCCCTTCCTTCTCAGCCCTCCCCCCAAAAAAAACACATCCACTGCTGCTCACTGATGCACGTTCATTAATGCACTTCTGTTCTCTCTGTAGCATAGTCCAAAGTATTGGTTAGCCTATTGTGCTTCTGAAGACTTGTTTTTTTCCAGTCCTTTTTCTTTGTCCTGAACATGTTGCTGAATTATGATTTGTTTTGTTTTGCTTAAACGTTAAAAAAATCGAACAAGGAAAGAATGCAGTATAGTATGTTGCAATGAATATTTTTGACTTTATGTATTGCCTTGTTGTAAAGAGATCTTTGCCACACTGTACAAGTAGTCCATGACATTAGTAAGATGTTGAAAAACAAGTAATCACTGCCTGGTGAGTAAGAAAACGCCTTCTGTTGCTATGGTAACTGTAAAGAAAACAAGAGAACTTTTCATACCCGTCCCTCCTTCTGTTAAACCATTTTGCCAGATAAAAGAGCTCCTCTCACCTTTTTTTTTCATCTCTCCCTGCCCTGTTAACCATATTTTCTTGCATTGTCTCTCATGCCATTCCTCACCACTGCAAACAAGCTCAGATAATCAGGATTGAGGATAAGGATTGCTGTAATTGGCTCTGGCTCCAATTCACTTCAGCAACCGAGCAGTTTGTATTGGCTGTATTATTAAACGTTTAATAAATTTTTGGATGGCTGTCCTCAGCTAGGTACTTCTTAATTTGCAAGGACACCTTTTATCATAACACTCTTTTTCTGGCAACTGTTTTTAGTTTAATTTTCATTCCCCAAGACCCCCCCTACATTGTCCTCATATTCCTACTCTGGGACAAGTGTTTTCTTACACAGCTAAGGCAACGTTTGTCCTAGAGCATGTTAACTTTATCACCACATGCTCTAGTTCTCTCTCTTTTACTCTCTCTGTCCCCTCAAGCTGGCCCTCCTCCAGAGAAGCGCTTTGATAACCGCCAGGGTGGTTTCCGCGGCCGTAGTAACTTCCAGCGCTATGACAGTCGTGGTGGACCTCAGGGTGGCAGAGGTGGCTACCAGAACCGGGGCGGCTCTGGAGGTGGAGGCTACCGAGGAGGTAAGAGTCCTGAATTTGCTAGTTTTGTGCTTTTCAGATTTGGGGGCAGTAAATTATTATTTTTATTATTTTATTATTAATTTATTTATCTATGTATTTATTTATTTAGCTTGGACACATTAAAAAGTGACAGTAAAGACATTTATAATGTTATAAAAAAAAATATATATTTAAAATAAATGATGTTCGTTTCTATTTATGAAGGAATCCTGAAAAAAAAAAAAGTTTAAAAAAAAAAAGGCGCTACTTTCATGTCACATCGTGGACTTGCTTTCTCATTTCATACAAACACAACTGCCACCATTTTCCATATCACTTATGGATTGTACTGAAAATGATCTCCGAGGGCTTTGGTATTAATATTACTGCAGTATTGTTGCAGTGTTTGTATAGGCTAGTGTTGCCAAAAGTACCGACCGCCATACCAGTCAGTACTGAAATTTTAAAAACGTCCATTTCCCGCTAACATTTGAGCGCTGAGCGGATTCTTAAACAACGCTGACTGGCCATAGTGTGAACGCACTTAACAGATATGACTGTGATTGGCTACAATGATCATCGCTTCACACTCTTCACCAAGCACTCACACAGAAGCACACGGGAGCGTTTGAGAGCCGCGTCTTTTAGCAGATCCGTAATATATCTGCACATAGACTGATCCGCTGATAGAAGCGGCTTTCAAATGCGGCTTTCTTTTTAGCTAATCACAGTCATATCTGTTGAGCGCGTGAACACTATGGCCAATCAGCAGTGTTTAAGAATCCGCTCAACAGCGCTCAGATGTTAGCTATACCAACTGGTATCGCGGTCGGTAGTTTTGACAACACTAGTATAGGCCGATTTATTTAAACATTATAATGGGGTATTGTTTTTTTGTGGAAGCTTTAGGACAATATACAGGTAAAATTATCAAGTAATTCCGACTCAAATCAATATTTCATGTCAGCATATTTATATATGGAGAGAAGCCATGTTATAATCAGGATAATGTACAGTCAGCCAGCATCATCATAAAGAAAACTCTTCAGGGTTATAAGTTATTTTAAAAAACCCTGTCTGGGTTTATTTTGCAATTAATGATCAGCTTACTATACATTTATTCCTTCTTTATTGTTCTGCATTGATGGTTAGATTCTGCCTACAAGTTGTTGATAATCAGTCAACTAATTCATTAGGATACAACCGTGGAGGCTACAACCAGAATCGCTGGGGAAATAACCACAGGGATGGAGGTTCTGGAGGCCGTGGTGGATACAACCGCAATCAGCAGTCTGGAGGCAGTTACAACCACAACCGCCAGAGCTCCTACAACAAGAGTGCCTCTGGATCATCTGGAGGCTACAACCAGTCACAGGTATAAAGACATGGCTTACATTATCCAAGTTAGTTTTTGAATCTAACAGCACGTGTAGTCATTGCTTGCATCATATTTTCTCATTTTTTGTAGCCTCAGTCTTACAATCAAGGCTACAACCAGGGCTACAACCAGAGCAACTACAACCAAGGGTACAACTACGGCAACTACAGTCAATACCCAGGATACAACCAGAGCTACAGTCAAACTCCAGCACCCACAGCCCAGACCTACAACCAGCAGCAGCAGAGCTACAATCAACAGTACCAGCAGGTGAGAGAGTCTGTGGAAGAAACTGCATAAAGTCACCACGGGCAGAAATCCACTTTTCCATTAGGGGGCAATATCAATTTAACTATATTTCAATTTATTGCATTACCTAACATGCCAAGAACCTTTATGAATTAGTTTGGTTTTTACGCATTAGAAAATTAAGACTTTATGTTGGTTATTTTAGTAAATATACAAGCAAAGAACATTTCTCATCACTGAAGCTATTCCAAAGTTATACATTCTTGCAAAAACTGTTAGAATCACTGAAGCGGTCTCCACTGCAAAATGAATCTCTTACTTGCGTTGTATTTGCACTTTGTTGTTTATGATGAGAGAATTAATTCATGAGTGCAGACTCCTAAAAAGAAATCTGATGCAAAGTGAGCAGATCTAGATGTAGTGCCGCAATCAACCCTTTTCACATTTTAACTTTAATCATGACAGCTGTAATAGATTTAGTTTAGTAATTGTGCAGGGGCATTGTTTGCCCCCTAATCTTGAATGCATGTGCATGTTTTGCATGTATTTTTATACACTGTACCTTACTTCCCCCAGTACGCTCAGCAGTGGCAGCAGTACTACCAGAACCAGAGCCAGTGGAACCAGTACTATAACCAATACGGCAGTTACGGCAGCTATAACCAGCAGGGCAGCCAAGGCAGCCAGGGCGCCCAGGGAACACAGTAGTAGCATCGCAGCCGTTTCAGACGGCCCATTCCCCTAAGCAGCATTCCTCATGCCTTTTTTGTGCTCCTTCTCTTACCTAGTCTTATCCTTTTTTGCCTGCTCTCTGTAAACCTTTATTCTCTCCCTATTTAAGCCAACCTTAAAGGTAACCACATTTCTGTGGCCCTCCATTGCTCTGTTTGAGTTTTGGTGAGAAGTATCCCTTTTTTGCTCTTCTACTAAATATTTGTTTACATAAAGCTTGATCTTTTTTTCCTCTGTGTACTTGTAGATGAGAGGTTCGACATTTGATTTTAGTAATGTGTGGTTTAGTCCACTGCAAACAGCTCACACTATGATGTGCTTGAATGTTTCAAAATAGAGCAGGAGAAATCTGAGGAAGCTTCGCACGCTTAGATTTACATCTGATGTATAGAGTGAAAGAGAGGCAAGGTGTTTCTGTGTTCCAATAGTTTTACCACTGATTTTATTTTATTTTTTATCTTTTAAGATTAAAGAACCACATTTTGCGGTAGATGGTTATGGGTATTGTTCTGTGTATGATCATATGCCTGTATGTACACATCGATGTAAGACCATGTAACACTTTTGTCTAGGTACATCATATTGGAAATTTTAATAACCTAAATCTTGAATAACACTTTTCTGATGTCTCAAGCCTGTGAAGGTTATCATTTTCCTTTTTATATACCATTTTTCAAATGACTGATTGGTCTGATGCACATCTACTCCCAGATTAGTAATGATCCAAACTAGTTCCTGTGTGGATATGTTTTTACCTTGTGTCTTGTCTGTAAAGCAGTATCTGCATATGGTTTTGTGTCAAATCAAAACACATTATTTTGTATTTGAGAATATAATCAGACGAACCATCCTGTGTTCTGTGTTCTTGTTTAAATTAAGAATATGTGAAAGATGAAATATTAATTTTAATTTGTTGGCTATTAAGTCGAGACAAAGGATCAGCCATTTTATTCCAAAAATGTTTAAATTTGATTTCCACTATGATTTCCTCCACAAAATCCTAACAAACAAAATGCAGTTTGTGATGGTGCAAATAATATTGTGGAAATTTCTGAACATTTAAAAAGGTGACAAAATTAACAATTCCCATTTGATGCATATATTTCAACAATGTGGACATGTTTAATATACTAACCAAATTAACTAGGTAGAATGTAAGTAAAAACAAAACGCAGAAGCACATGAACGCAGAGTTGTGGGCGTGTCAGTGAGAAGACATGTCGGATGCAATATAGATTTGCAGTGTTGGTAAATTTGTTGAAATGAATAAAATTATTTTTTGTCATGTACAATAAAACTATAAGTTACATATACAAAATATTATATTGTATAATTACCATAGAGTATATAATGACAATTTACATCACCTTCATCAATTCAATAAAAACAGAAAAAGCAAAAACAATAATGCACATTCTTTATTCATCATTTTGTAGATGTAGAGTTAAAAAAAAAGTTTAATTTTATGTAGAAAAGTTAAATCGCCATCTTGTTCTGACCAAAGAGACTACTTAAAACTTGAGCTACTACCAAGAAAAGGAATGCAGAAATTGGACAACCTTGGATGCCTAGAGGTAACCGGATAAGAGGTAACGAACGAACTTTCCAGGAGGAATTAATGCACCATCTGTTACCCAACCCCTCCTGCTTTTGTAATGTGTACAGGTGTACCTTGCATCTGAGCTAAAGACGCTTCAACCTAGATTGATAACACTGCTTCAAAACGTCCTGCTCTGTCTGGTATTTTCATGACTGTCTGCTTTTTGAAGACGGCCACAAAATGAGGTGGGTTTGCTTGTCGAATTAAAGGTAGATATGCAATATATATATAGCGGCATTATATTTGATTTTTGACGGTACTGAAACGAGGATGTGAGGGACGGATGTTAGTGCTTTCAATGGAAAAAAAACTTTGTAGGTAGACAAAAACACCATAAAACTATGGAGACAGATCAGCCTCAAAAATAACACATTTGCAAAACAAAATTCATAAATGCACAGCACAATTTACATTTACAAAATCCGATTCGTAAATTCAAAACACAATTCATAAATACACAAGTAAAAGCATAAATATTTCCCCAAATGCTCACACAAATGCATCTTACCTAAATAAATTTAAAATGTTTACACAAATATGTATATACAAATTTCTTGAATTAATTTCCATCACACATGAATGATGTTACATGTATTTATGAATCGTTGAATCTGCATTTGCAAATCATCACACATGCGTGGACTGCTTTGAATTTGTGTGTGGTATTTTTGAGACCTTCCTGGCAGGTTAAGAATCATAAATATATTTTTTTTGGAGGATGTTCCGTTCAGCCAATCGCGGTGAGCTTTTAATCCACCAATCAAAACAAATGTGTTATTTTTGAGGCTGATCTGTCTCCATATAAAACAAATGTGAAAGTTGTGAGAATTATGGATCCACAACATTATTACAGTGCGTGCAAAGACTTGTAAAAAATCACATTCTCATTTTCATCCGCTTTAAAATCAATATGGCATGCATCTAACCTGACTGGTCTACACTGGTTGAAAGTCTTTTCACATCCTGTTAGCAATCATTAATTAAAGTGCTATTTCGTCCAATCATTGCATGCGGTCCGAATGCAACGATAAAAAAGAAGCGCGCTGAGAGAAACTGCCATTGTATAGGTGCATTTAATTTTTATTGTATCCAACAATGTATCCAATATCAGGAATTTAATGCAGATTAACATCTTGGAAGGGGAGTTGGTTATGGGCCGCATCACATCGCTGTTTATTCTTCCCATTTTCTGACAACAGAAATAGAAAAATATATAAATGAAATCAGTTTTATTGAGAAGTTGTCTGTATTAAAATACAGTATTTGAGCACAGAGTAGGAGAGAGCATTACAAACAAATGTAGAAGGCTGACGGGCAGAATGCAAATAAGACCAATGGCGTCATGAATATGCAAATTAGTGTATGGCATTATCCAGTGACATTCAGCAAGTTTTTGAGCCACTTTCCATTGAAAGAAATTGGCAACAGTTTTTTACACCTTTATTTATATAGCGCTTTTAACAATACAGATTGTGTCAAAGCAGCTTTACAGTATCAAATAGTGTGTAAATAATGCAAAAGGACAATAGTAAAAACTCAATTTTCAGTTAAAGGCAGTTCATCATTGAATTCAGTGATGTCATCATCCAGCTCAGTTCAGTTTAAATAGTATCTGTGCAATCAAGTCGACGATATCGCTGGAAATTATTGAGAATGCAGCGGACGTGGAGGACAATAGTGCGATAAGAGCTCACTCAAGTACTGAGGTGCTAAACCATTCAGGGCTTTATAAGTAATTAGCAAGATTTTAAAATCTATATGATGTTTAATAGGTAGCCAGTGCAGAGTTGACAGAACCGGGCTAATATGGTCTTACTTCCTGGTTCTAGTAAGAGCCGTGTGAGGCTATGCAGAGTAGCAGACAATTGCTAGAGTCACAGAGTAAGCATCTAATCATCTTGCTGCATGCATTGTCAAATAAATCAGCTTTGAGTACTAACGGTTCACTTTCATTCATATTGTAATGTTATGTGCTTTCTAGGGTTTAATTAAACTTCACTCACACTTAAGTAGACGAAACACATGCATACACATGCTAAGTAGATGTATACTACTGAATGCTCAGAAAACACATGAAATAACATTACATATAGGCTACTAACATCATGTTTAACATTATAATTGTTTTCTCTCTCTCTCTCTCTCTCTAGCTTTTGTTTTTGGGTTCATGACATTTCATGTTTTGTCGAAGTGAATTATTTCCTTTAAAATAATTTTATAATTCATTACATGTCACTTTATTCTGTAAAACTTTAGTTTGAATTGAATTCAAGTACATTAAAATAACAAATATTATTTTATGTTTTGGTATCTCAAACCCCCAAAATTTAAGGGAGTGCAATTAATTTAATTTAAAATAAAATACTATGGCAAATCACTTTTGAAACCTTCCCTATAAGCAAATTTCGCAAACTAGTAGTAGTTTTACTAGCTTTAAAGATATTGAGATAATACCTTTATTCGATTAATTAATAATATCTGAGATAATATCTTCATTTGATTAATTAATAATAATGTTTGCTGACTGGCTGCTGTTTGTAATAGTAAGGTAAGTTAGTTCTGAAAAAAGCTCTTGCATAATTTCAGCACAGATGCCACTTGGTTTTATTGATTGATAGTTTGATTAATTGATTGATTGATTAAAATGCAATGAAGACAATGGCTTGGAACAATGTTCTCGATTGCACCCTCAATGATGGCCTGTATGTACAAAGGACGCAGAGTTTTTGCAACATAACTGCAAATCATTTGTTTCTACTTTTCCTTTTTTTTTAGTCTTAAAGGTGGCTTAAAATCTAAACTGCTTCTGCAGGAGTGCCATTTTACTTGGTCTCTAAGCAGAGGTGTAAAGAGTACCTAAAAACCATACTTGAGTAAGAGTACAGATACCTTACAGTGAAAATTATTCCACTACACGTTACAAGTCACCAATTCCAAAACAACTTGAGTAAAAGTCTTAGAGTATCTGATTTTAACAGTACTTAAGTATTTTACTTATACTAAATATAGGCTCAAAAAATGCACTAGTCAAAGAGACATGCCAGTCAAAAACTGTAACATTGTGGAGAAGCAAAGCTAGGTCCATGCAAAATGTAATGTGTAACTGCAACACTCATTTCAAATGTAGTGGAGTAAAGAGTACAGATACTCATTCAAAAATGTAGTGAAGTAAAGAGTAAAAGTTGCTAATATCTTTGATACTCAGTACAACTACAAAGTACCCAAAAAGATACTCAAGTACAGTAACTAATTACATTTACTCCAATACTTTACACCTCTGTCTCTAAGAGAAGAAGATGACTTTGTTCTTTGTGATTTACTGAATCGTCTGGAGGAACAGATTCAGCTGGAATGTAAAGAGGCGAGAGTAACACGAGCTTACAACAGTCTTGGATTTGTTCAGTATCTCTATGGCAACCAGCAGGAAGCACTTGCAAATCTGCAGAAATCAGTGGAGCTTGCAAAAGAACACTACAAAGACAGTGATGAAGTTCTTATTGTTACCTATGGAGACCTTGCCTGGTTGCACTATCATATAAATGAGTTCTCTAAATGTGAAGAGTATTTGAGAGAGTTAGAGAGGATCTGCAGAAAAGTTTCTGGGAGATTCACTTATACTGTGGAGGTTCTCAGAGAAAAGGGTTGGACTTTTCTTAAATTCTCTAACAAATACTCGCATGCTGCAAAGGAATGCTTTAGACAGGCCCTTGAAATGAACCCGGATGACAGTGATTTAAATGCAGGCTATGCTATTGCACTGTACCGCACAACAAAAGACACTCCTGACTCTTCAGACTCACCAACAATAAAACAGCTTGAAAGAGCTATAGAACTTAATCCAGATGATGCTGTTCTACTACTGTTGTTAGCCTTAAGAATGCTGAATAACAGAGATAAGACATTCGAACCTGCACTGAAGAAGGTGATTGTGGCACTGAGGATGTCTCCTGAAAACCCACACGTCATAAGATACACAGCAAAATTTTTCCGCCAATTAGGAAACATGGACATTGCCATTAATCTACTAGAAGATGCCTTGCAGGCTACCCCAAACTCTGCCTTTATACACCATCAATTGGCTATGTGTTACAAAAAGAAAAAAACATACCTGGAAAAGAAACATAGGATGCATGGCAAAGCCAAGTTTAATGTTAAAGAGTCAGATGAAATACAGCAATACCTGGATCAGTGCATCTATCATCTGGATAGGGCAATTTCCCTAAAGCCGTCTTTTGTGAATGCCGTGGCAGATTTAGCACTGCATCACGGACAACTTGGCAGCTTCAAAGCTGACAGACTTTTTGAAGAAGCATTTAAATTGGCTTACAATGAAAAGAAACATCTGCAGGCAGTTCATTTTTTATGTGGCCAATACCAGCTCTACTACAAAAGATCTGAACCACTGGCCTTCCAACATTTCATGCAAGGTCTGAGGCTGCAACCAGAATCAGAGCTAGGCAAGTTATGTGAGGACAAACTTAAAACCATGATGCAACATCGTATTAAATGGCTGAAAAGCCCAGATGACGGCATGGTGTGTGGCATACAGGGATTCATTCATGAAGTAAAGGGTGAAAAACTCAAGGCCGAAGAGTTTTATGAGAGAGCCCTAAAAAATTGACAGAATTTTGGTAAATACAATCGCAAGTTTTTATTCAATTAATTTTGAATATATTTTACTTGGATTACTTGAAATACACTGGTCCCCAAAATGTAAAATTTGTCTAGCATAGGTGCATGATCACAGTCTTCCTGCTTTAGTGAAAGTTGATTGGTGGTTGGCTACCTGAATGAATAGCTTTTAAACTGAGATTTCATTTTTGAAATTTATTTTTGACATTGAATACCTCAATTTCTTTTCAGTTTTAGGTCACAGACATAGATTACACACTTTTTTTCAGAATTTACAATGTGAAATTCATTGGATCCTTGATGATGGTATGCAGTGATTCGCCATATTGCTAAATCCATTTATTCGAGATATACTTAACAGTGCCAATATGTTGTAAGATTTGTTTAATAAGACAGACTTTATTTAGTACTGATGTATTAATTCATTTGAAGATTACACTTTATGAGTCAAAATTCAAATGTTTTAAATTTTACTACTTTGTCACTTTTAGGAATGCATGCATCAGTGTATGTAAATGTAATTTAGGCATTGAGATTAACATTGTCAAGTTTTATGACACCATCTGTAGTCATTTGTCAGACCTGGATCAACAATTGTGAATGAAAAGATTTAAAATTTTAATATTAAAAATGCAAGTTAAACAGGCCTCAGTAACCATCTCTGCCTCATTCAGCTGCCTCTTTATTGATTTTGTTTTTTTGTTTTTTTACATAGGTGAAATTTTCACAGAGATAAGGATTTGGCTCATGAGTTTCAGTGAAACAGAAAAATCTGTTCTTAGCCTGATTTTTGATGGAGGAAGTTACGAAGTTGAGAGTGGTAGGATTAAGAATTTCAAAGGTTCAATGAACAAGAAGATTGTGCACTTGGTTGATATTGATATCTGCAACGCCAAGAGCATTCTTCGATGGGAAAAACCGACTCCTGGGCCTCATGCCGTTCTTCTTGCATTTACTTTACACGATGACAAATTCACGGACCAAACCAAAGAGATTCTTGAAAATTTGGAGTTTCTTGGAGAGAAATTCTGGAATCATGTCGTCGTAGTATGTTGTAGCTCAGATGCAGTTGTAGCTCAGAGAAGCATATTGGAGTGGCTTCTTGAAAAATGTGGACACAAATGCTACATTTGTGGCTCTGCACCAGAAACTACAGAGAGGAGGGAGCTTTCAGACAGGATACAGATGATGATCAGGAGTAATAATTCAATGCATCTGGTATTACCAGACATTTCAGATGGAGATTCTCAATCCCCTTCAGGCATTTTAAGGGTAAGTCAAAATGATCTCTTTGCAAATGCAAATCTGTCTTATTTGACAGTAAAATTACAATTCACTTAAGCTCTTGTTATTTTTCACAGAGGCTAGATCTGAAAGATTATTTGTTCACTCCCGAGGTCATCATTCAAGAGGGGCAAAGGAAATACAGGTTTGTGTCAACAAACAGGTGAAGTATAAGATAGTTGAGTGTATCAGTATGCTTTCATTTGCAATATTCCTTTGAAATCAAATAGGTTACAGTGCAGCCATGCAGGCTGGTTCCATTGTGAGTTTACACAGATTGGTTTTAACATGGAGGGGGAAGGAGAGGTGCTGTACAGCACCGTTCTTCAGGACAACGACTGTCCAGTCCCTGCCAACTATTCCCAAGCAGGACCTGTGTATGATATCAAATGTGTTCAGGGTGAGCTGTCTCAACTCAGACTACCTCACTGTGAGACCTCCATTGGTGAGTTGGCAATCTTATGAGAAATAATAAACACTGAACTTTGAATAATACAAAGTGCAAACATTTAAGAAAAATCCTGATTAGTATAAAAATATAACACTATATTATACATTTTATATTTACTAGATGACATATAAAAAAAGTGTTTTTATTTTCTCTCAGAGGATGCCTGCCACTTCATGTCAGTTATACATAATTCTAATAAGATTGTTGATATTCTGAAGCCTCAAAATAGCACAAGCACACATGTCACAGTGAGCATCAAAGGAACATCCAAGTTTTTTATTTCCAAAAAGGAAAACTGGTTTACGGGTCATTGGACTAAGATGCTCGGCCAAGTGATGCTATTCTACCTACAGCCAGCACATAGGCTGCATGTGTTTCTACAACCCCGCAGTGTGGACCCCAGAGAAGTACATCTTAAATGCCCCCCTCCCCTCCATTTGACCTCATTCACTTTGGCTGACTTTTATAAACAACCATACCATTTCTCTGTTCTTTCAGGTGGAAAAAAGTCATAAAGATTACACATTAATCCAAACAGTTTGTGAATGCATGCTGAAATATGAATGTGTGTACAGCATGTCCTGTGATCCTGTTGCGGAACATGGACTTTCAGAGACGCCAAAGATACAACCAGTGGTCAGTATATGGATTAGAATAATGCATTTTCTCAAAGCAGGAGGGTGTTTTTCTTTTATTTTAGATTTTCTAATTGAGAAATCACGAGGGAAATGAGGGAATCATGTATCATATAGTTTACATATTTAGCTGTCCTTTCTAATGAATACTAGAACGCCCAGTCCAGAAAACTGCAAATATCCTGCAAACCTGCAAATAACTCTGATGAACCAAATCATTCAGAGATGAATTAGCATGATTAGAAGATCTTGTATAATCTCTGATGTACAGTATTTAAACAATGTACAAAGAATGTTCATTTTGCTTGTCATGCAGTATTTAATTTGAAATCCAAAAAAGGGGTTTGTTAGACCCTGGGCACCACTGAACCATATCTGAATCATTAATGTTGGAAAAAAATTATTTGTTCTTGCTCATATATATATATATATATATATAGCGGGTAAAACAAGTATTGAACACGTCACCATTTTTCACAGTTAATATATTTCTATAGGTGCTGTATGACATGAAATTTTCACCAGATGTTGGTAACAACCCAAGTAATCCATACATACAAAGAAAACAAAACAAATAAGTTCAGAAAATAAGTTATGTGTATTAAAATGGAATGACAGGGAAAAAGTATTGAACTACTGAATTTTATTTAATACTTTGTACAAAAGCCTTTGTTGGTAATGACAGCTTCCAGACGCCTCCTGGATGGAGAAACTAGTCGCATGCATTGCTCAGGTGTGATTTTGGCCCATTCTTCCACAGAGTCTTCAAATCTTGAAGGTTCTGTGGGCCTCTTCTATGAACTCTGATCTTTAATTCTTTCCATAGATTTTCTGTTGGATTCAAGTCAGGTGATTGTCTGGGCCATTCTAGCAGCTTTATTATTTTTCTGAAACCAATTGAGAGTTTCCTTGGCTGTGTTTGGGATCATTGTCTTGCTGAAATGTCCACCCTTCTTTCATCTTCATCATCCTGGTACTGTAGGTGTTGGGACTGAACCAGCTAATATTAATTTCCACTGACAAGGGGCAGGATTGCTTTCTAATTACTGATAGATTTCAGCTGGTGTCTTGGCTTTCCATGCCTTTTTATCATTGTCTTGCTGAAATGTCCACCCTTCTTTCATCTTCATCATCCTGGTACTGTAGGTGTTGGGACTGAACCAGCTAATATTAATTTCCACTGACAAGGGGCAGGATTGCTTTCTAATTACTGATAGATTTCAGCTGGTGTCTTGGCTTTCCATGCCCTTTTTGCACCTCCCTTTCATCATGTGTTCAATACTTTTTCCCGGTGTCATTCCATTTTATTACACATAACTTAATTTCTGAACTTATTTGTTTTGTTTTCTTTGTATGTAATACTTGGGTTGTTACCGACATCTGGTGAAAATGTCAAGTCAACAGCACCTTTAGAAATATATTTACTGAGAAAAATGGTGATGTGTTCAATACTTATTTTACCCGCTGTATGTATGTGTGTGTGTGTGTGTGTGTATATATATATATGTATGTATGTATATGAGCAAGAACAAATAGTTTTTCCAACATTAATGATTTAGGTATGTTTCAGTGGTGCCTTTTAATCAAATTTTTTTATCAATCTCTTTAGGACACAAAACTTCATTGCACGAAGCAGTGGAAACATTACTATCCAACATTTGATATAAAGTTGCCAGATGGTGTGATGGATGTGGGTTTACACCTCAATAAGGAAAACCCCAAGGAAGGAAAGGTTGAAGTTGTATGGAGTCGTGACATAACACTGACAGGTAAGATACTTTACTGTTTGTGTTAGTGGAATGCAAAAGTTTAGGAAGCAAATTACTGACATGACAACAATTCACCTGAAGTGAATTATCATCACAGACATTGGATGCTCTTTGCATGTTCAATTTATATGCTAGACTGCGACAATGTGTTGCACTGATTTACATGAGCATATGCACAATGTTAAATATGCATACATTTGTAAAAGTTTTTTTAAATAAAGTGAATCATACTGATAATCTCATAAGTTGAAAATGAAGCAGATATTAACGAAGTTTTTATCTTACAGACTATACAGCAGAAAACAGCAGACTGAGCCTATGAACAGATGAGCGGTGTAAGCACATAACCTAAAAACAATCTTAGATTTACATTTGAATCAGCTAGTAGCCTGTTTTAGAATTGTAGTGGAACAAATTATTAGCTTCTATTTTCTCTCAGAAACATTTTAATATATTGTATAAATTAAATGTGTTGTTGACTACAGGTGTATCCTTTCTGAAAACAACAAAGCTGAGCTTATCCAAAGAGTGAGAAATGTTAATGTCATTTTAGATCACCTTGATGACATTAATGCAAATGAACAGGTAAATAAAATCAGAGCAATGGCAACATCTCTGGAAAAAAATGAGGGACATCTTTGAGATCATAGAAGGACAAGGTCTTTCGTCAGAATGGAAGTTTTTCAGCTTGCTTTAGAAGGCAGAACCAGCTCTTATGAAAGATATGATTACAGACAACAACTAAGGCCACTAATGCATGTGAGATGAACAATGGAAAAACTGAACAGAATAAAATGTTTTAACTTGTTATTTTCAAACTCTTGCTATAATACTGTATGTCAAAGCATGTGATATTGACCAGTGTATCTGACAGTCTTTTAATATTTTTTGAGCTGTACTGCTTCTGTTATAGTGAATGTGAAAATGTGAAAATGTTTTGCGATTCAATGGGTTTGTCCAATTTACGATCACCTGTAAGGTAAATAATAGAAGTAGAAGTGACATTTAGAATATAATATCTTTTATTTACTATTTCACTTCAATATAAAGAGGTGCTGTACTGTAGATTATCTTCAAATTATAAATGGTGTTAATTCAAATGTATGTTAAGTTTGGAGTAATAATATAAACTGTTGATTTTTACAGCAATTTGATTCAGTTCTTTAATAGTGTTGATATTTGTAAATAAAACAAACACAACAAGTGGGATTTTGTGAAATGTGGTTATGAAAAAAGAATGGACTGTTCATTACTATTAAACTATTTGATGTTCTAAATGATATTGCTGATGCTTATGATACAATGTTTAATTTATAAATGCAAATGTTTGATGACTGTCCCGTCACACTCAAACCAATTTTTTTAAACAAATATGGTTTACCACTTTAACCTTTTTTATTGTTGTTATAGGCTATCTGTAGTATGCCTATGTGCATGTTGCTTGAGTTTGTTCTCAGTCTGTACAATTGTTACAAGGTCTGAATGCGAATAAAACAACACCAACTCAATTTCCAGTAAATTATTACCGGTATGGTCAAGACAAGAGGATTAAAAACTCAATATCCCATGAACCTCGTGTACACTCAACCCCGGAAGTAGATTGTTCTTAGCATGGCGCAAATGAATACTTTGCAATAGTGATTGCTAGTACTAGTGAATTTGTAAGAAATTAATAATATGGATATGTAATTTCCACGTGAGACGTTATCATAAAAAAGACTGAGTAAGGTAAAATGCGTTTTGTGCTTTTTTAACTCTTGTTGCCTAAAAGTTTGCCTATTAGCGTCAGCGCTAACCGACAGGTTTTAAGGCTATGAAATTTAATTCCCCACATTTTATAGAATTTAAAATAATTTCTTTTAAGTGAATTTAAGGTGTCTGTGTTATTCATCATTTACTAAATACGCTAATTTAGGACAGTCAGGAAGCCTGAAATCTAACTATAATGAGCCCAATTATGTACGAGAAATTAAATAGGTACACATTTCTGTGTAGCCTATGTATGTAAGTTAGACATTCCTAAAATTATTTCAGCCGTTAATTTGCATCATGGACATTACCCCATAATTTTTTTCTCGCTTTCGGAGTATTTATTCGAGTAATGGAGTAGGAGATGAAGAAAAAAGCACTGATGGTAACTAAGTGTACTGTTTAATATTACAGTACATTACTTAATTAAATCTGTCTAAAATTCGTATGCTCTAATATCTGTCTAAACTGTAACCAGTAGGCATGATAAATGAAGACATAATACTGTGGTCCTGATACTGAAGTCAGTGATGTTTAAAGAATTGTGTAACAATTGCATTATATTATATACTGCATACCATTATATACTGTAATAATCATGTATTTCTTTAATGTAAAAGTAGTAAGCACCTTAAGGAATTACTTTTCTTGCCTAAATAATCTAATGGCTGAACTGACAGTTGACCTTCGTAGATTAGGGCAATGTCTTTGTTTCGTCTTGCATTTATTTGATTTGTGCTTCTTGTATTAAGGCTGGACACCACAGGTTAAACATTTTAACTAATAGATACCACTATACTTCTTCCTTTTTATTAATCGCACAGTACTTTTAAATGTTTTGCATTACAAGTGTTCTGAAATGCATAACTATGCAAATGATGCATTATTTAATTAAATATACACTAATTTGCATACATTCACAGACATCTGATGCACTTTTTTTAGATTTTATTGTGATGGCGTCAGGTGTGGGAGAACAAGCGCATGGTAGCGTGGCCTCCCAGTTCTCCAGCAATGAGAACGACACAGCCTTTGACATGACCACCAGCGAGAAGGTAACAACACACTGGACCATCATTACTTATTAAAAAGTAACCACACTAGTTAGTGCTGTTTTTTGTCAATTTGGTGTTGATTGCGTTTCTCCATCAGGTGGTGGAATTGTTAAACCAGGCAGCACTCATCTCTACAGAGGAAAAGCTTATTGTTCTCAAACAGGTTTTGAAAGCGTTTTTATATTGTTGTAAACATAAAAATCAGATGTTTAGTTTACATGATTATTTAGGTCTGTTCTCTATATTTTTTATTATTAGGTGCAGGAGTTGATTATCAACAAGGACCCTTCATTGCTTGATAATTTTCTGGATGTAAGTACTGAACCATCTTCACCAGCTTGTGTAAGTAAGTAGATGAGCCGACACAGGAATTACATTCACACTTTCTGTTTTATCCATCCTCTACAGGAAATCATCGCATTTCAGACTGATAAGTCAATTGAGGTGCGAAAGTTTGTCATCGGATTCATTGAGGAGGCATGGTGAGTGCTGGCTGATCTTGCATATGGGTCAGTCCATCCCAAGTGGTCCAATATCTCTAAAGTTGGTTGGAATCTCAAACTCAAAATTGTTACAGCAGGATGCTACCATAGTGGACTTATATCTATAAACATTTAAACTTCCTGTCTGGTACCTCTTTAGAAATAATCAATCCAAAAGTAAAAAATTGCACTTCCTTGCCCCCATAAAAAATTAAGGTAAGTCTCAAATAGGGCTGCACGATTAATCGAATGCGATTGTCATGCACATTTTGTTAGTAAAGCCGGTTCTGTAATAAGCAGGAAATCATCATCACTTTAAGATATTGTATCAATGCATTCTATGGCACCTTTAACATTTGAAAATGAGGAAATTAAGGTAACCATAAATATTAGCATTGTAGTTTTACAGCTGTACTCTAAATACAATTATATAGTTATACTTAAATGTATAATTACACTGTAACAAGGACATCCTAAAATAAAGTAACTTTTTTTTTATAATACTTAAATATTGAAATGGTAATTTTTCATATTTTGTTTAATGTTTTTATTTAGTAACAATAAAAAAATAATAATCATTATTAATAGTATTATTTTTTATTTAATAGTCATATTGATATATAATAACAAAAATGACAAATTTAGCAGCCAAGCACAGCAAACTTGGAATTTAATTTTTTCTCACAATTTTTATCAGAAAAAATAAAAATACCCCCCCCCCCC